ATATATGTATGATAACAGAGGAACGCGTAATCCCCATGAATAAAATCACGTGTATGTCATTATTATGAATGGGATTTATAGTCACCTCTAAACTTTGAATTCATTTTCCACACTATGTTTATGGTATAAATAAGTTTAGTTTTATGTGAGATGTGGTGGAGATGGACAGGGTGTCGAACTGTCAATCAATAAAAGGAAAACAATACAGTGTATTAATTTGGTTTTGTAAACGTTGAAACTCTTGGACCGCGAGGAGATGCGTGTTTGAGGAGATTTCAAATTCGCCCCCCCGCAGTTTCATCACTGGTCTATTTTTCGAGTCTGTTCACAGGAAAATCGCATTTGCTCTTAAAATCTCAATTTAGCAAATCACATCTCGAATAAGTAATGTGATGTAGAACACTTTAAAAACATAAATTGAGATATTAAGCCACAAAAGTTCCTAGAAATTAGGGACTTTTAGTTCTTTTGACAACCGTAACTATTCCCTACCACAGTTTTACAACGAATAGCACAAATTGTAATATACATTTAAGACGAATTATAACTGTAATTAGTTAAACTTTAGCCTTTTCAGTAAATGTTTGTCAGTTGTCTTATTTGTGTCGTCATGTATCTGCAATCGTTTAACATCAAACGCCATACAAACCAGATATCACGATAGTAGATCATAACAACTTAGTAGTGGACGATGTTCTACAACCGTTGAAGCAGACTTGTTTTGTAAGTTTAGACTCGGTCTTTATTGCCCCATCATGATCCGTGTTCGCGTTCGTCCTTGATAAGGAGATTTCAAAAACCAGTTGTCGACCGGTTCCCTCAGTCTTGGTTACTAGCTTCGTTTCATCTCTACTCTACCATGATTGTAGTATACTACAACTATGAGAGCTACTACTTTATATCCCCACCTAAACAACAAGTACCTAATGCACTCGAAAAAAAAATATTTTTTGAACAATTTCTCTAGGGGTTCTGCTATTGAATAAAAATAATGCTTACTAAAAGCTTTACAGGTGCTTTATAATTTGAGCTGTGAGTCCACTTTTTACAAGGGTGTTTTGTTCAGACGCCTTTTTGTCAAGCTTTTCTTGTCCTGATACATTTTGAGTCTGCTGATGTCAATTATATATTTTTTCTCTACGATTTAAGGATGAGTTTTACTGTGTTATATTTGTTCTTTGGTTAACATACATGAGAAGAAATTCATGATTAAAATCCACCTTTTTATTCGTTTAAACTGTATATTAATGAAAAAAAAAAGATTAAAAATAATCATATTATGCACTAAAAGTATAACGGACAGAGATATATCGAACCGAGAGATTACGTTGGTCTTTATTTTACGGTACTATTTTATACGAACATATACAAATTATCCTACCTATACAAGTAGGCTAACTACACAAATAACATTTTTTGAGAAGAAAGCTACTGCTCCTTAATACGTAATATGTATAATATATTTAATAGAAGTTGGTATATTTGTTACCTAATTAGCACAGGGAAACGCCTTTATTATAACTATGTTCTGTTTTAAAAACCTTTTGCACAATCGAAATGTATTTCCAAAAGTGTACGGTAATAAGTTCTAATTAGCTATCTTTGAATGTATTAAAATTAATAAATAAGTATCCTATAAACGGTTATAGCGATCTAAACAATTTTATTAAATTAATTGTCATTACAAACAATCCCTACTATTATTAACGCGTACATAACTAACCTTTTGTTTATGTTTACCGTCGCTATAGTATTTCCGAAGTAAGCCGACACAGCACACAGTCCATATCATCTAACCGAACTAATACTATTGAAGTAACAATGTTCACAGCACAGTCACACAACAATACAAAGATACGCGTCACTACAGGTTAAACAGCTGGATCTTAAAAGATACGTCAGATGATACAACAATCAGCTGATTGGCGAAAATACGTTCTTAACATCTTATATCATGCTTACTTGATCAATCTGATAAGTTTAACTTGATTATTGGTAATAGCTATAGCATACGGGTTTAATTACGTTTTAGGTAAAGTCTTAAGTAATAAAGATTATAAAAAAGATTATAAAATGTGTATTTTTTGTTTTCATTACTAGGCCCAACCAACCAGTAGACTTCTCTTTGCTGCACGGAACCATCCCTAGTTCTGTGACCCCATGTTGCACGGAACTATGACAAATGCAAAAATGCTTGTTTTTAATTGTTTTGACCTATCACCTAGCAACGTATAACTTAAATAAATTATGGGAAAACAACTTTATATTGTATAACGAAACCATAAGTTCATTTTCCATTTAGAATAAGTATAATCAGTAATAAACTTACCTCAATAATCATGAAAGTATCAATGATAACAGTAAACACCAACACGATCACATGTGAACGTCTCTGAACACAATAAATAAATAGGTTTCCCTCAAATACCCACATACCCTATCTAGTGGTGATGTGTTGAACTACAGGGGAACAGTTCCGAAATAATAGCGCTGTGTGTCTGGTTGGAAAAAAATAAAACATGTGGTGTTACACAAAGTGTAACACTGTGAAACAATGGACAAACATTTGGTGTTACATTTACTGTAACACTATGCTGCAATGAGTTAAACAAAAAAGTAAGAGCGAAAGATAATAAGCAGAGTGATTCTATTTTGAATTTCCGTTAAAGATTTCTCGTAATTTTGAGCAAATAGGTTGAAATTTGTAGAAGCCATTAGTAGTTTGAAGGTTGCCAGCTCTCTAGGCATGTTTACACTGAATATTAGGTAATTGGGTGATCACAGACGCGGGACCGTTTCCGGACTCTCAGATGAGGAAGGAGTCTGGTCAAGGCAATTAGGGTCTAAATGGTGGGTTAGAAACGCGAAACACAGATTTAACAATACCACAGCACGCCACATATGGCAGTAGGCCGTAACAAGATTAGAGATTTTGTTGGATAGCTTGAAATTATTTTAGGTCCTACAAATATTGTATAATATAGATACTACAAATAAAAACGAACTGCTATACCCGTGCTTTGCAACGGCAAGATGATGTGACCTAGCACCATTACCCTGTTTGTAGTGCTGATGTGTGTTTAAAAATTCAGTAACTAATTTGAAAAAATAAAACTGATTTAAAAGTGTAAGCCTATACTTTCAAACCCCTACTCTTGATGTCAATTGATCCAAAAGAATATGATAACATACCTTAGTGTAGCAATAAAATCTACTTGGTATTGATGCTTCATGAATGAGATGTTTTATCATAATTCTTCAATTATAGTCAACCCTATTTTCATGTAGCTTACTATATAAATTGAAACTGTGAGCAACACCCTACAACACTTAATACTCAACCTTTCTTTAACCAAACATAAACCTCTTAATAAATCACATTTATTCAATCTAAATAAAGCACCACATAGATGATTTCGAGTAAATAAACAAATACCAGTTAATTGCATTGACCAGCTGTTTCGTTCAATATCAGACAAAGGGAAACAAAACAAAAACTTTTATTTCCTTAGTCAATGGTTAAATGAATGAAATTAAATCATTTGAACTTTAGAAGCATGTCGGACGTAGCCACGGCAACTGTTGCCTTGACGCAGCCCTTTGGAAGTCGGTTTGCGGTAATACAGTAGATAATGTGTGATAATAGATAATACATAAGTTGCAATAAGTGATAAGAAACCCAAAGCCAAGTTTTTTATAGACAAAAATACTGTCATGATGGTGAATATTTAGTACTAATTATTGTCTTGTTGTACTCTTGTTCGGTGAATTCCACTCAAAGGATTTAGATAAAAAAATTGTGGTGTGACATCATTATTTTTAAAATCAAAAACATAACAATTAACTTACGTCGGTGTTGGCCATTGATAATCTATATATATAAAAGGCAAAGCCCTCACTGACTGACTGACTGACTGACTGACTCACTCACTCACTCATCACTAATTCTCTTACTTCCCATTTACCTAGGAGGCTGAAATTTGGTACACTGATTATTTAGGCATTAAATAGGAAAACTAAGCTGTTTTTATTCTGATCGGACTCTCGGGCTCCGCCCCAGTGGCTCTGGAGTTTCCCATGTTAACCTTATGAGTACTTATATTTAAATGGAATTGATGAATCTTAACAGCTGTTTCAATTAAACAAGTTGGTTCTGTTCTATGATGTTCAATAGCATTAAAGTTACAAGGATTACCAACAGGGTGCAGCACTATTATTTCTTTTACATTAAGTGAGCGCAGCGAACGAGCTCCAACCTAAAAGTGATTGAGCGTAGCGAACGAACTTCAACCAGGACGTGATTGAGCCATGCGAACGAGCTCACTTATGAAGTTAAACGGGGCAAAGCCCGCGGGTACAGCTAGTAGAATATAAAAATCAAACAATAGCTTGGTACAAATGCTGTGGTAGTAAAATATAGTTGTTTATTGTTTGAGACCAGGAACCCATTTCATAATAAAGTACAAACTAATATTATTAGTAAATCAGTTGATCGGTCAATGCAAATCTAATGGAAATTACAAGTTACAAGTTGTAACTTGTAACTTGTAGTGTATTATGAAATAGCCCCCAGGTTATGTAGCTTATGGAATGTGATAGAGACTGACTATAAAAACCATACAAACAGCGGTTCTTGACTTCTTTCCATCTCTGAAATACGGCACCCAAAATGAACTGATCATGAAGTCGTATTTTGCATAGAAATTATCATAAACACGGCAGCAAAAATAAGAACCGTTGATTTTACAGGAAGCTGAGTGTTTTTTTTTTCAAAGTTTAAACACTAGAAGAAAAAAAGTCGTACCGTTAACTCCTCTCCTTGCGATGTCAACAGTATGGGCATTGCAGAATCATAACAGGGTCAGATTTGCAATACATGCATGGTGGTATATGAATTTATGTAACATAATCAACTGCATTCGTATCTTAAAATGACATACACCTTTGTAAAGTAATATTAAATCTAACAATATTACAAGAAAAAGTAAACACGGACTCACCAAGGTCTACAGTCCTGTACGAGCGACTACCTGTTGCATTCCTCAGCAGAAACTTAACTAATTTGACACAAACCAGCACTAAAGTCGCACCAAAAACTGGGGAACGGCGAAACAAGCCGGGTACAAACTAGGAACATAGGTTTCACTTAGTTTTTACACGTAAAAACTAACGAAAAAACTCAAACGAACGATAAGGACGAAGGATCGGCGGACATGTTGGATACCACTCCCCTCCATTCCCCCTCCACTTGGCCGGACAGGTGAGCGTCGAACGAGCCAGGTACAGTCACGGCCGATGAAACTGTTTGCTTTACTTTCTGACCGAGAAAGGAATGTTGGCATTTAATAACCCCAGCGGCGTGGCCTTGCGCGGTGGGAACCGTGGAGTGGACCGGGGTAACGGAACGGTGGACGGTGGAACGCGACCAATGGACGATCGGCCAATCCAAGTGTTGGATTGTGAGTTTACGGATTTGGCTGAAACAGATGAAAAGATAAAGTTTGGGAAAAGTCTCTCCACAACATGAATCCCTATATGCATCATCAGCGTAGCCAGAAGGATTCGATCTTTACTGTTAAATTATTTTGAGAGTTGCTTTAGAAAAAGAAGAATATTGTAGAGGAAGAAGTGTCATCGCTCTAATGTTACTTAGAAATATATATTAGAACTTACATAAGATGCTGAAGAGGAAACGGTCCTAAAACCGCCACAATAGGTTTTCAGCCCTCCGGAACATCACAACATCAACAACACTTTGCTATAGGCCTACTTGTTTATTAGTTTATGTTTATAGTTGGGCTCATTTAGTCATATTAGACCTACTGTATCCCTACAGATCTTAGTTAATTGCCCCAAAAGCAAACACAAAAGTAAATGTACTAGTATGTAAATGTAAAAGTAAATGTAAAAGTACTCAAGTGTGCGTAGACATGGAGGGTTGGAGAGAAGGTACGGCAGCCCAAAAAAATTATAGATTTAAATTAAAAGTGTTAACAAGAGCTATTTTAATAATCACAATTGGTAAGAGAGGGTTTTCTCCAAAATTTGTCACCAATTTTTGCTCTCCGAATTAAAAAAAAATTAATTCACTAATTTTTGTTAAAAACAGAAACAAAGTGCTATCACAGAATACATTATAATCTCTTCAATATTACGATGAGTATACTATGATTATAAAAATAAAAGATAAATTATCCATAGTTATATTCCTTGTCTACAAATTATTTACTATCCCAAACATTGGTAAAAGTCTTTACTTTATTGTAGGCTCCTGCATTTTAATAGAAAACAACGATTTGTTTTTTCCATAGCTGAAAACCTAAGCAATAATTGATTGGTGAATAATGGAGGTATACGTTTACTTTCTCAATGAATCTGTAAAATTTAAAAATATACCCTCGGAAAATATGGTTAAAGGTGTTCTGCAACAATGAAATACATTGCTCAACACTTTTCGCCAATCACTTAAAACCCAAACACTGTTCGTTTATATTTTGCGAAATGTACGCTTTGTGAGGTAAATGTATTATCAAAGCAAATGTATTTAACCTCGTCATACATCGTACTTTTTATGCACTTAGGTTGCGTCCCTTGGTTATACAGTCATATACAATATCATTTCTAAATCCATCTAGTTGATGGAATAAGTTTATTTGAGGTTAAACATCGCAATGATTACAATAGCTTAGTACAGAATATATAAAAATGACCAGCATTGCGGGGAGCGCCGTACTTTCTTTGAACGCAAGACCCGCAGTACACAGGAGCCTCTGAATCACGTCGTCAACTGCAAGGCGCTCTTTTTTGTTACACTGTATAATTAAAAGTGAGAAAATCGTCAGTAATAATTGTTTATATTATTACATTTTATGCATACAAGTTATGCTACCACTCTCAGATCCGAGTAATAAACAAAAAATGTTGACAATAATTTCAGGTTACAATTACAACATAATTTTTAAAATCCTCCCGCCTAAACAAACCAGAAGAATATGCAAATTGCCTTTGCCTGCTTGGATTTTCAATGAAATATCAAACATGTTGGATAACTTGCCCTTAAAAATTAACCTTTAACGGTGTAATGAGTATATTTTGTTGTTACAAGAAATCTAAAAGAGCGTTTAATATTGTAATGTTAATAGCTTAGCATCAAATAAATTTAGGAAATGTTATTATAAAATATCCATAAACAAGATACAGTATCTACAAAGTTTACTTATTCTAAAGATTACATAGAATTTTAAAATGTTTTTGTTTGATGTAGTTTTAAATGTTGTATTTTTGGGGGATTTCCTCCGTAACCGAATGCACACAACGCTTCAATTCAATTTGTATTTTTGAGCTCTAAAAATTATTTAGAAGCATCTACAAGATTTTATATGCTAAAGGTCGAAATGGAAAAATCAAATTTTTATCCAATAAAACAAAATTGAAGTTCCTACTTCCCATAGTGTAAACTTTGTTCTCAAACCCATAATAGTAGTTTACGCAACTACTGCTTAAAGAAAGAGAATGTTAAGCAGGACACGCGTAGAAAATTTAAGGTACGAGCCTTGGCAAGTGCCTACGACATTGTTTTAATTACAGTACTAAAAATCACTACTCATAACTTCTAAAAGATGTTATGTTTTCGTTTATAACCTCTCATTGCCAGTGACAGTGATGCAACGAAACATAGTATCATAAACTAATTGCACCGATTAACAATTAAATTGGCCTGAACAGCTGATTAGTTGAATTTCGAATCATTACAATTTTACTTCTCCTCTCTCAATCCTTGAACCTCATTGGTCCGTTACCTGTGTTGTTATGAGTAAAACTATGCTGTTATAAAAGTAAACAATGCTGTTATGAGATACTTTTCAATTCTAAGAACTGTACTGAAACGGTTACTTTAAAAAACGGTCGTAGGTCAAAATAAATCTACCTAATTAAAATTATTCGTATTTGGGCCTGTTTCATACCAAACTAACATTAGAAATCAGCTGATCGCCCGATGTAAATCTAATGGAAATTTCAAATTACAGGGGCCCGTTTCATAATAAATTACAAGTTACAAGCTGTAACTTATAATTTCCATTAGATTTGCATTGGGCAATCATCTGATATATAATAATATTAGATTGTAGTTTATTATGAAATGGGCCCCAGGTTACAGCTTGTAACTTGTAGTTTATTATAATTTATGAAACAGGCCCCAGAAATTAATAGCACATATTTTTTATGTATCAATTACTAGCTAACAAGGCCTGTATATCCAATAAAAATTGACGATTATCTTACTTTTGCAACAAAAGAGAACGCCTTGCAGCCGGCGACGTGATCTAGTTGCTTGTGTGTGCTGCGGGTCTTGCGTTCTTCTTTGTACGGCGCTACGCGATAACATAGTCAAATACAATATCTCTCACTGGTAAATCCATAAAAGTGCTCTCGGCACCCCCGAAGGGTAGTGTAAGTGCCTTGCCCCTGAGGACAACTAAATTTGGGTTCAGTGATTTCACTGTGTTTTGAACAGACAACAACAAATCAGTATGTTTACAAATTCATTGATAATTACAGCTTTCTGACAGCCAGCAATAATTTAAGAAGCATTTACTTTAACTTGTTTATGGAGAAGGACCTTTTAAAAACGTTTTTCTCCCAACATCTTGAATATACTGTTTAGTTACTGAGTGAAAATTTAAAAACGTACGTTTTCAGGAAACACACTTTGCAAATTTTTTTCCCCTTTTTTCAAAACTTTTATTATTTTTTTGATTTCATTAACATTTGAAGTTTCATATAATGTCCATGGTAACGCAATATCTTTGGTAGTTTTTTTTTAAAAGAGCATCTTTAGTGGAAAAACACAAAATCCTGTCACGACCATAACAGACGTTTAAATGAATATTAAAAATAGTTAATATTATTTTTATAACTATGTTTTGCTATAAACTAATTTACTTTTATGACCATTATACATTAAAAAGGTCACTGAGCTTTTAGTATATTTGGTCTTTCTAGAAAAAAATAAAAAACTCAAAAAAATTGAAAAAAAGCCAATAATATCTTTTTAAGTTTGTATAACTCCGAAAAAACTTACCTGAGACCCGAAAAATCGTTATGTTTGCATAGAGGCGTGCTTCTTTTGTGTATAAAACATTGAAATATGACGATATTTTAATTTTTGAAATTTTTATGACAGAAATCATAAACGTGATGGTCAGGGACAAGCGGTACGGTCGTGAATTTTATAAAAAAATCTAAATCTTTCTAAACAATCCTTTAATTATACTATTAGTTATAATAAAAATATGTGTTTCAATTGAACTAAACTGTTCAAATTACAATTATATTAAAGTTATTGTCACGACCAAACACACTATAATCCATAAGGCTGGATAGGTCGTGAAAAAACCCGCGATGGTCGTGAAACTTTGGTCGTGAAATTACGTGTTATTTGGCTCTGTTCTGGCGGTAGCTCTGCACCTCATGTTCGAGGATACAAAGTGGACTTCTAGGTTAATCTAGCAATTGAAATATCTTATAAACAAAAATTAACACCATGTCTACTTCATCGAATGACTATGTACGGTCATGGACACACCAAAATTACAAAAAACACAACCTTTCCTGTATTAATCTTGTAATTCCTCCTTTCAACTCGAAACGACCGGCACTACAATCCTGACGTACACCCCGAACTAGTCTCTAAAACCAACTGACTCCATCAACGCGAGGCTTGCCACTGTCGTGCTCCAAAGTTGACAAATTTTCCCAAATGGTCGTGACGCCAAATCGAGGGACAGACTTATTATGTCATGGTAGTCAGTTTGCAATGACAATAAAATTATAATATGCTCCTTTTTTGTAAGTTTAATAACCATTGATGACATAAAAATATGGCTTTATATATTTCGGCATGAATAATTAGTCTAAAAACAGCGTGAAAGTTGGAAAATGTACCCTAGGGACACGTCATGGTCGTGAATTTCGAGACTTTAAAAATACGAAAAAAATACCTAGAACCTATTTAAAACCAAATAAATGTGTGTAACATGTTGCCCCCATCCCAAAAAATATTAAAACACATAATAATAAACTACAAATCCAGTAGCTACGAAGTAAAATGCCAGGGACATGAAAACGTACGTTTTTAAATTTTCACTCTACTCTGAAAAAATGCCTAATAAAGTAGGCCTGCCTATACTGTTCAGCTTTACGTTGGTGGTATGGAAAAAGGTTAGAAATATTTGTTTTGAGAGCTGGTGCCAAAAAGAACCTGCCATCACAAAACAGTCAAAAGAGTAACTTTCATGGACAGAGTGGATGGAGTAGGCAGATGGTCACCGTTTATTGTCAAGACCAGGGTTGTGACTCTGATAAAGAGCGGTACTTTTGGGACAGGTTGCTGGAAAACTTTTTTAGGAAGCAGTAATCAATTATCAATTATTTAAGATGGGGCGCCACTATGTGCGTATTTTAACCCAAATATGAGTGAAGGATGAGTGTAGGATGAGTGGCGCGATCTTGTAGTCTTGTTAGTGACTAAGGCCGACATGTTCCTTAGACACAGCTGTTAATTAATAGCCCATACAGCTAATGGCAACTAAGGGACCTACAGTTTATAGTGGAATCTTATAATGTGATTCCCTTATGGGTAAGCGGTGGGAGTAGGCCTAACTGTTTTTTTATAGGGAAAATTTACAAAAGTTGCAATAACTTGTTTTGAACCGTATTTTTACAGCATTAGGGGGTTGCACTATTTTGTTTAGAATTATTAGGACCATAGCATCCTTGTTTTAATAAAAACTGGCTGTTTTAAAAAATCCGATTTCCCGTTTTTATGGTGCCTTTTATGGAAAAATAACATAAGTTACAATAACTTTTGAATTCTTATTTGTACAGCAATAGGAGATTTACCATTTTGTTCAGAATTTAACTAAGATGTAACAAGGTTTCTCAATCATTAAGTCCAAATATTCTTTGAGAAAATATATTTATTTACAAGCGTAATTTGAAACTGTACAAACAACTAGATATTTACAATTAAATACTGGTACTCATAATTTTGCATTACTGCTAATAGGTGGATTAAAACTAACCTCAAGTCATGGAGTCAACCGAATAATTTTTCAGTTTTAATGTTTTCTTTCTATGAAAACAACCATTAAAAAAAACCAATTATTTATATTCCATCTAACAAAAGGACTTAAGCAATGAGACCAGGGGTTGGAAAGATCCTTAAAAAACGTAAATAATTTCAATAGTGTAGATAAACACTAATTAAATAACTACACAAGTTTATTGTAAAGGTCAAAATTTTTTACAATTGATTATAGGCCTATTACAGACACCGTTAATTTACTGGGGGTTAGATTGTAAGCTAGCCTAAATCAACATTATGTTTCATCATGAGTACCAGAACTAAGACTACAAAGATGATCTATTTTCCCTTATCTAGAAGATCTTTTGCTTCGTTAATCTTGGCAGCAATGTAGGGCGAGCCGCCTTTGTCAGGATGGTTAGCGAGCATCACCCTCTTGTGCGCTTCCTGTGTATCAAAATTAGTCTATTTAAAAATACCCCCAACACAACAAACTTTGCAGACTAAGAGAATTTATTTTAGGCCTACTTAGGCGTACTAGTTTTTTGCATAGGTGAGTCGGTGACTCAGTCGGTAGCAAAGGGACTTCAGGCCCAAGGCAGCAATGTCGTGGGTTCGGATTCTGGTCACTGCCGCAAACATTTTATCAGTACAGTTCACCTCCGTACTGTTCCGACTCACCCCTGGCTTTGCTGGATACGTTCCACACACGGGCAGTTAGTACATGTGGACCGGCAAATGCAAGTTTAAAAGAGGTTGCCAACATCTTTATAACAAAATTAGGTTGCATGTAGCCTACACTAAAATATTCCCCTAAAATTGTCATGTTAATTTCATATTTAAATAACATAAGTGTAAATTAGTACATAGGTTTGACGCTACAGGGAAGATAGTAAGCAGTGCTCGATTTGCGGCAGATTGGCGTTCCGGTACCTCTCTTTCAGAAAGACAAAAAATGTTGGCATAAGAAAGTTCCGGCACCTCATTTTTTACAAATTGAGCACTGGTAATAAGTGAGTTTTTTATTGAAATGTTAAAAGCAGCTTAGTAAGAAATTAACAAACTATTGTTAAATGTGATTAAAATAGGCTATATGCCTAAACAAGCAAACTATGGTACAACAGTTGACTTATTCTCCAACAAAATATAAAGGAAATTTTAAATTATAGTTTTTATCATTTTCTTTGTAACCATTAGGCGTACCTGTACAACATCCTTTTGATGTCCTGGTACTAAGTTATTTGGTTTTTGAAGCTAAAAAAAAAAAAAAAAATAGAGAGAAATCGCAAAATATTATGTTTAGGGGGTAAAAAACGGGGGAAAAGACTATGTGGACTAGTTCAAAGAACATCTTATCAAAGAATGACACCCTGGGGAGCGAACTGATCAGTTGGTAAGGCATGGGACTGTGTTCTTTAGGTCCCGGGTCATATCAACAGGATTTATGTAAGAGATAATGCTGCAACTTCCTAGGCCAAGCATGAAGTTATTTCTAACGTCATAAATATAGCCATTAAATGGGATAATATCGTTATCACCTGATCAACAAGACAACAATAGATGCTTATGAGCGCTACCACATTCACGAGTGATGATCACAGTATCGCAGGGACCACAAGATATGCTTACGAGTACTGTGCTATTGCGGCTGACCACAAGATATGCTTACGAGTGTTGCTGTATTTGTAGGAGACTGCAGATATGCTTACAAGTGTTGCAGCGATTACAGGAGACTACGCGGAACAGACAAAATCTGTTTTGTGGGCGAAATGTATCCCTCGGGCCAAAGGTTGGTGACCCCAAAGCTTGCATAGCAGTCAAGCAAGCTAGTTCAAATCTAAAACCAATGGTACATTATTTACTTCATCCGCTACTGTTCTTTAGTGTCCGCCTCTTTGTAATGATTAATCTTTTCAAAAAGCCTAAATCAATTTGAGAGAAAAATAAATACTTGCACCAAAGTGAATCATGTTCTATGATTCGGTTTCTGTGGAAAGGGGGCCGCTCCTATGAAAGTGTTTGGATGTAAAAATATGAACATAAGAATTTGGAAGTTCATCGAAAGTCATACAAATGTGCACAAATAAGGGTGGTAGAATGTGTTTATTAGTTACCATTGATGCAGGGATTAAAGATTATGAAACCTGGCTTGCTGATCGTCAAGATTAAGATTTACCAAGGTTTACTCCTGTCCTAGTTAGTCTTAAGGATACGTCCCATATCAGTTCGGTAAGATTTTATTCAGTAAAAAAATTCTCCAAACTTTGGTCACTGCCTTAAAGAGAAATAGGACAACCACAACTACACTATTTGAAACACAGTGTAAATTTTTACAACCACTTTATAATTCCTTCCACCTCTTGCGCACATTGCATCCAAACACTTACAACCAAAGAAATCTAATAACAATGATTAGACTTGGCCTAGCCTCGCATGAAGGTGGCAGTTGTGCAGTAAAGAACATGGCACTGGACTGAGATTTGAACTAGCTCACTTGTCCGCTATAGGAAATTGTTGGAGACCAAATTCACAAACAACCCTTATAGTTACAATATTATCATATTTTTCACATGTCAGATAAAGTGTTTCTCATTTTTATTGAGCTATGATTACATTAATAGGAAATTGTGAATGAGCGTTTTGTTTTGTTACAGTTGTTGTATCAGATATCTGGTACGGTATATAGAACGTGAGAGTGTAAATATTGTCTAAAATAAATTAGTACCTTTATTTTTGTTTTGCTAGCTGTCGGTGACACTCCCAGGATGAGACTCGCCTCTCGTCTCGTCATTTTATGATCAAACCCACCTTTGTAATATTTACTGCTCGCAAAACTCTGAAAATTAATGATTGAATTAATTTAATGTCTGGAAGTGGCATAAAAAACAAAAGACTTGTTTATGGTGAATAGTTTTTTTAGATACCTATAAAATAAGAAAATCTTTGATCCCTAACAAGGGATATTATCTTTTTTTTTGTCTACTGTATTTCAACTAATTTGTTCGCTCAGGGACTAGATCTTCTGATTTTCTTAGTCATAGAAGATATGTCACCCAGTTCCACCATCAGAGTTCACAAGCGGACTCTTAACACCTAACACCTCTTAGTGCCTGTGCCTAGGCAGCTATAACGGGAGAGCCATTCAATTTACTTTTCACAAGAATATTTATATAAAATAGCCTAATGGTTTTTGGTATTGAATATTGCAATGAAAACTAATGTTTCTCAATATTACACATCGCCCACTACAGACATAACGTGTTACTTACGCCAATGCCCATGTGGGGAAACATCTCCTGACAGTATACAGTGGTGACTTTATATAAGATCTACATTACAAAACTGGAGCTAAATCAATCTAGTCATCAAAATCAAGCCGTAAATGAGTCAACTGGAAGGTACTCGGGGGCTGGAAGCACTGGGTTGCCTTTTTACATATGCACTCATATCAAAAACATGCCTGAAGAAAATTTAACCTACCCAAGCATTCTAGATTAAAATGACGATAAGACAATTCCTTCAGTATCTTGCCTATTTAAACGTTCCTAGCATAAGTCTAGTTTAGTAGCTATAAGTAACTTACCTCACTGTCTAGTTTAGGTAGTGCCTTGAATGCTTCTGCCATTTTTTGGGACATTTGCGGGGCTTGCCTCAGGATGAAACGCCCAGCATAACCAACGGCAGCCAAGCCTAGGCCTGCCAGAATAAGGCCGGAACTCTGAAAACAATTAATTATTTGATTAATTTAAATAACTTAGCAAACAAATACATTTTTACAACACGGAAAGCCAGGGTGCCTAAATAAGTCATTGAAATCAAAACAATGATTAGTGAACTTAGTGCATTGTAAATTTTCCTGTAAAACACTTTTTGTAACAATAAAAGTCTTAATTTTCTGTCCATTTATATCTTGATTGTCTCGTATTTTTTGTCAAGAAAGATTATTTGACCTTTTCCAAAATCTGTCTACTCTATCTTCTATGATAAGCGGGTTTAATATAGACATCCCAAAATACCAATTAGTTTTTAGAATGGAAAAGATTTACTTTACAGTATTGTTTCCTTAACTTACTTAACAGCACTGTTTTGTTGCTTCATATTAGGCCTACGTGTTTGGACCAATGAGGTTCAAGGATTGAGAGAAAATAAGTAAAATTGTAATGCATTTAACATCAACTCATCAGCTGTTAAGGCCAAGTTAATAATTATATGATGAGTGAGTGGTTGGAACAATGAGTCGTTGCATCACGATCAGTGGCAATGAGAGGTTGTAAACGTTATGAGTAGTGGTTGTTAGTAGGCCTAATTGAAAAAATGATCATAGGTAAAGTAGTGTGCAACTTGTGTAATTGGCCTTTCAGACACTCGTAAGACAGTTTTAAAGGAACTTGCCTAGGCTAATACTGTACCTTAAATTTTCTACTTGTGTCTTAGAAACTATCCCTAGGCAAACACGATTGTCTACTACTATTACTATTGCATTAGGCCTACTACTATAATGCACTGCCCGCTCCCCCGAAAATGGAAAACAATGTGGAGATATTTGGTTAAGGAGTTAGGACTCTTCTTTTGTCACGCTGTTGCTACAATGTCAAAAGATTTTTTATGATGCCTTAATTATAATCTTAACTGATTGTATTTATTTTGTAAATGGCATTGCCCTGGAAAATAAAAATGAAAGTGAAAAGTGATTTAGGCTATACTATAAAATATGTTAAGTCAAATGTGAAATTTAGAGATTTCAGTTTGAGTTTGTAACTGGCTAGCTTAGGATCAGCTGCTTCTTTGGCCACTGATCATTTTATGAAAACCCCAAGGATAAAAGACAGCTGGATATACGTAATTGTTTCTCGCAACTCGCGTGATCAAATTTCGTCTGCTTTTTTCTTTGCTGGCGTGTGATTTACAGCCGTGGGTGTTTGTGGCGTAGTGGATAGAGTAGGCCTACTCGGCCGATGTGCCAGAGGTATCTAGATCGAATCAGGGACACTAACTTTCTGTCAAAGATTTTGCTTAGAACGCCATTTCTTCTTAACTGTACATCTTTTGTTTTGATTTGAGGCATTTATAATTTTAATTTATGACCAGAATTTAACCTTAATTCGATTTTTCATTATCAGCAAGTTTTGGTTAGTTGGGTTAGGTTATGACAGTGAGTAGCTACCGGTGTGATGACGTCATTGTTTCATCTTGCTCCATTACAAAACGCTCACTTCAGCCGCTCCGCATTTACTCACATAACTTACTGCAGTTTGGTTAAGGTTAGGTTTTTTACTTATTTTTTATTTCCATCCCAACGGCCAAAGACCATTACAAAAATGATAGGTGATGATTATTACAATCTTATACTAATAAATAAATAAATATGCAGACATATCGATACTGGCCTCCAGAATGTTACCAAGACAAAGAAATCTTGCAAGAGGAGCATGATAATCATATTGGCTACTGAAGTACCTCTTGCTGAACAGATCTTGTGAACGGGTTCTAGAAGGCACTCGGAGGTCCACTTGGGCAAGTAAAGCGGGGCAGTCAATTTATGGCCATTGAGAAGTTTAGTTTGGAACAGTTTCATTTTATAATCAGCTGGTAACTTAGTAGTTAATGTATAGGACGTAAACTAAAGTGCAACCTTAAAATATACTAATCAGGATTTAACCGGCAACCTACTGATTACTGGGCCACCAATAGGCATATAATATCCCAGCTAACTTATATAGCCTAATAAGTTTAAGTTTAGTTAGCTGCAACATCCTTAAGTTATGATGTTGCAATCTACAGTAAATTTCTACATTAAACCTAGATTGATCCAACAGCCTAAAGAGTAGCTGTAAGTAATGCTTGACTTACACATATATCACCGATCCGCATATAGGAAAGCATTAATTTAAGTTAGCTTAATACAACAATTTAAGGAATTATACAACAGGTTTTAAGAGTGAGGTTAGGATGTTAAAACTAGCATACCTTGTGACTATGAATTACGTTCACTAAGTAATTAGGACACTAATGGTTTGCAAACTAATAAAATTTTCTTACCATTATGAATGCTCCTGCTTGATGACTATTAAATTAGTTGCGTAATTATCTAATTAAACTCAAATGACATTGTTGATAGGTATAAAGCATGTAAATGGTATGTGTGGTTTCTGTCTGCTTCTCTTGCTCTTCTGCTACCCTGACCAAGAAGAGAAGAAGAAGAGCAGAAAACAGAACGAAAATGACAAATTTGAACCTTTTTTTCATCGATGTGATGGAAATAGAGGTAGGCAGCAAACGTACCCGCGTGATGTTTTAAAATCAATTATATAGTTCGAGCACTGATTAAAGAACATGAATATTCATACAACGGACAATCATTGAATATTGAATATAATATGTATGTAGCTTTGTTTAATGTACTCAAGAAACAAAATTGGCTATATAACCATACTTTAAACATTACATGCTTCATGAGCATAACATTTTAGCTGCAAAAGCTATGCATGTATTTGTTAAATTCAACATGTTGTTTTCATTTTTCCGTATTTCAGTTGATCTATACTATACATATTTTTTAGGGAACATCCAAACTCTGACCTTTTTACAATCGAATGTTTAACCTTTTGTTAGATACTATAATTATTTAGTAACCTTGTGACAAATAACAGCATTTAAGCTCTGAATGGATTATGATCGGAATTAAACCAGCAACAGTTGTCTCGTACGCTCCAGGTACACGCCCACCACCACCATTTACGATGGCAACTAGATGCCACCCCAACAATCCACCACCACACTAAAGAGTTGGCCGGTTAACGTGCACAACTCTACGTACCCGATAGCATGCCACCACAACAACCCTCTAGTACTAGCACACAATTTATTTGAGGTGGCGTGGTGGGTAGTGCACGCTCCCATCTAGGAAACACCCGAAACCGAACAAAGAGCCATCCCATCAACTCACCACCTCTTGTGTGAGAGGTGGCGGGTTTTCACTGACAATCAGTCTCAATTTCTTCTTCATTTTGGACACGTTGACACACGCTCCAAATGCTGTTATATACACTCTTGATTTGTATATTTTTGTCAACAACCTGCTACTAATATCTTCATTCGTAGCCTTTTTTAATACTAGTGTATTAGATATGTATCGATACAATTCAACACATTTCATTCCAAAGGCTCCAGATTAATACAAAAAGGCCGCTAGGGGCATGGAACACATTAAAGAAGTGCTATCTCATCTCCGGTTATTCAAATGTCGTGCGAAGTTAAATAACATTCTTACTTCTTGTCAAGATATATTTCATAAAGTAACATACATTTTTTTTAAATATTAAACTTTGGTTATACAACATAAATATATTTTCTTCACACTCAAACTTTCTTTGCTGGTTCTGGCTATGTTACCACACCTAAAAGAAATAATTTTGAGTATTGGATGATGATATTATAATCTTTTGATTATTAGAATAATGAAATAGTACGGTTCTTATACAGAACTATAAACTTTATACATTATCCAACACGTGTCTTTTTAGATATACAGATTCAACTATCTAACGTTGACGATACTGTTATTTCAGCTGACGTGATATTTTCTAGCACCACAGCTGTGTCTTTTGTTTGGTTGCGCCGTCTGCAGCTGCTGCAAGCGGCAGATGTTCGGCCTCGGCCTTTCTTTGGTTATTCGATTGTCCCGGTCCGTAGTCTTCAGAGCTCGATACAAGTAATCTCGTTGTGTAGAATGAGAATGATTTGGGTCTGCATGCTTTTTATGGAATAGTTTTCTCGAGTGATTTGTGATAAAATAAATTATTGTCGATTGCGGTTATTCATCTGTGTGAAGTGTTACCTACCATAACTATTTTAAATTATTTGAGCAAAAACCATTCGAGAATCTTTGACTATCATCTAAGCAGTGGCAAGTGTCCCTCGATTTGATTTGACCGGCAAAAGTAAGTTTTTAATACATTTTGGTAGTTAGTATACTGCTTGATCAAATAATTGAACATTTTTTAAGTTGTTTTTAATCTTTTACATTTTTGACTTGTTACTATAGCTTAAATATTATGATCCTTTCCTTTTATGGGCACTTGAAAAGTTGAAATGTTAATGATGAAAGTTGACGAACGTTCTGTTTTAAACTTGTCTAATCAGGAACTTGCAAGAATTTGGAAATATCACAACCAAAGGGTAAGGGTCATCATGCAACTGCTAAAGCCCCCATAAAACACACAACAAACTGCTTCTTCCCTATGGGGGGACATTTTCTAAAACAGTTAGTTGTATTATAACTTAGGCCTAGTGGCCTATTGGTATAATTAAACATTGTTTAACCATATAGGAACCAACTTATATAGAGCATCCATGATTTATTGAACTTGTTTAAACAGTGACTTAATTCCATAAGAAAATAAGTTGATAACTCTTCAAAATACGAACGAATTTACCTATTGTTGGGTTATTTAAAATTTAACTTAAAAACTCATTCTACCATCACATTAAGTTTGCTTACAGCACTAAAAGGGAATTAATTTATTTAAATATCAATTTGTTGACATTCAGGCGTATAATTGCATTGTAGGCTAAGTTATCAAAACGAAACTCTCACATGTAGCCTATGTAGGCCTATTTAAAAAAAATTGCTAAAGACTAGGATAAAGAATGTTCTGCAAAGGAAAAAAAACTACTAACTATAAGTTATAGATAGGTTTCAGTCTAACAAATTACAGTAAGCAGTAGGAAGGCGGTCCTCTGGAACGTTAAATTAGATTGGTCGAATACAAAACCCTGGTGAGAAGACAGTTCTGAAACTAAGGGTTTGAATCCTCTAAGTTATAATTGGTTACGTTTGTTATGTGAAATCCACGAGAATTTACCTTTTTTTTGACAAAGTCAACAGGACAGGTACACATGTAAAACAGTGTTCTTGATATAAAATTAACAGAATTACCGTATGGGCTTCTTAGTGAATTGTGTGTCTGATCGGGCTATTTAACGCCTAACTTATTTTATGCATACAAAAGAAAGCTGTTTTACTAAAAGTAACTTTGATTTTAGTTTTCTTAAATTACAGCAAGTATTAGATGGGTGGTTTATCTATTGAGGCCTAATATTAGGTACATGCCAATGTCTAAATTAATGTCCGCTCTGCTTTAAGTTAGTTTTTCTCTCTAATGAAAGGCTGACGTTTCCGGATAGAAATCAGCCAAGGCTTTTCACCGGTTTTTAGAGAGAGAGAAAAAAAAACAACATTAGGCCTAATGTAGATATAAACACAAATAAAAAAATACTATCACTTCAAAGGATAATAAGCCATTATCTATCCTAAAAGTCGCGTAATACCTATTCTATGAGAGAGTTAATTTTATACAACCCAGATGAATTGTTTGTTTTTAATTAAGGATTAAAATTATTTTGGAATTCAAATGGTTTTATCAATAGGCTCTATCAACACTCTTGACAATGCATTTCTTCAGCATAGTATGCCTTCTATACAGTGCAGTGAGTCTTGTGGTGTCTTTCCAACATAAAAGTAAATAAATAAAATTTTGTTCAGTAATATAAAACAATAAAGAAACTACAAACATAGAAAGTTCTCTGGGGTCAAGAGCTACAAGATTGTAAGAATGTGAGGTTTCAATGGGTAGAACTTAGACCTTGGCAGTGTTTTATTTATAAGCATCAATACAGACGCCAGTGCTAACACACAAGCCAACAACCTGTCAATGTTACATAGAGTAACTTTGCGTGGCTTCTTTTGCTTCAACTGTCTAATTTAAAAGTGACATTTTGTATCCATGTTTACTGTAGCACTCAGGTAGAGTGTTTAGCCCATTTTCATAGAAATTCTTCCAGTGAACGGTGAAAAATAGAATTCAACATATTTTTGTAAAACCCACCAGAAGACATAATGTAGTCTAACTTATAATTGAGCTGGACAAACCTATAATGGCATAGGTAATAGAAAAACAATATAGAGTACCGGTATTCATATTTTCAATTTATAAATTACTAACTTTATGACTGAAAATAGACCTACTTTGAAAGCAAGAACCTCACATGACAAACATTTGATTATTCATATGTGATAAAGATTTGATCCTAGTGTCATTTTGTTGAGTGTACCCAGTATTCAGGAATTCAGGTCATTTGAATTGTTAATCTAGTCGCATCTCACCTGGTCTGAATTGCTCTCAACTTATCACGCCAACTACAAATTTTTAATCTCAGTTAGGCTAATTGTACTAAAGGTGTAGATTGATTTTTAGCTACTTGTTAAAGTTATTTGTGAAACTGGCAATCATTAGAAGTGAAAGATTGTTTATTTTTCTTTGTATTTACAAAATACCCCCGCCGCAGCAAACCTGCAGACTAAGCGAATTTCCATTTCACTGATTGGATTTACACTGAAATGTCTACTTAAAAATATAACATTTATTCTTGATTTAAATAGAATTAGTTTAACAAGTACTTAGGTTTGCTGCATCAGGGAGGGTAAAACTGTTTTTTTTTTGTAAAATGTGAATAGTTAGTAAGAAATAAAAACATTTTCCAAATTTGATCAAAATATGTTCACAAATAAGCAAACTACAACAGTTTACTTATTCTCCATAAGAATAACATGGGAATTTTAAATTTACAATTTTTTGGAATTTTCTCCGTAACCATTAGGCGCATAATAACGCTTCAATATACTAAATTATTTGTTTTTTTAAGCTCTACAAAATGGTTCGGAAAGAAATTGCTAAATTTTATGTTTTATGGGTCAAAAATGGGAAAAACCTATTTTTACCCCATAAAACCCCCCGTAAACCCCCGTTCCCATGGTCCGATCATGCTGGATCGCGAACTCGTTCGAATAAACGTACGTTTACATGTTTGTACCAAATTTCATCAAAATCGGATCATTTTTGCTTGAGTTATCGTGCTGACGGACACATATATATATATATATATAAATATATAAATATATAAATATATATATATATATGAATTTGAACGGATGGTGTTTTTGGCCTCTAGGGACCTCAAAACGAAAAAAAAAATCGGTCCCGCGTCCAGGTCTTACCATGAGTACTACGGTAATAGCTTATTCCCTATATGGGAAATTCGCTAATATTCCCTATATGGGAAATTCGCTAAAATCATTTCAAGGAAAATTTTTTTTACTATGCCTATTTTTTGATATTTTTTTTTTAGCAAATAAAGATTTACTGCTCAATTTTTACTGCTTAATTGGAAAACATGGGCGTAAAATCTCATTCACATTATCTAATAAACCAGTAATTGGCTGATTTAATTTAAGTATATAATAATTTAATTAGCCTAAATCAGTTTTACTATTTTGTGTAACTGCAAAAGTGGTCTTTAATAACCACCTCATATTTTTTACTATTTTAGAGTGTTTTAGGATTTTTATTTTGTGTCGGTTACACCATTGTGTTGGAATAGCGATCCAAAGTCAATATTTTAAGACCTTACTACTAAATGCATGAATCTACTATAGTAATATGCTAGCTATGACACATTGTGGCAAAATAAGACACGACCAAGTAAAAGATGTTAAAGATTGAGAATGTTACTGAAAGTTGAAAGCCGAACGATAACCTACAATTTTGGTAGTCACAAAATTTAAAATTATGTTGTATTATTCCAACTTAGTGATAGCACCTAGAAATTTTAGATTTCAGTTTGAATATGAACTCACGCCACAAACATAAAGCATGTACCTCGGATCTGTCTCAGGAATTCAAATCCTAGATAAGCCAGAGACAGTAAGTCTGAGTAAGGCCCATCTCCATGGCAACGCCAGTTGTTGACAATCTTTTGTCTTAGTACAATCAATGAAGGCTTCTTCCACCACAGGCTAGTTCTACACACTGTATATTGTTTGATAGCATAAAAAAATAAAATTATTCAATACAAAATACAGTATAGCTGATTAACTTAAATGCTTGTTAAAGAAATACCGTATCCATTTCAACGTCTGGTTTTCATTGGCTTATTTCTTGATGGAAATGTTTATATCTTAAGAACTGAAGTTCAAATTCACATTGAAAATCTGACGTCGAGAGCCTAGATTGAAAGGCTTTGAAAAATTTACTCCAAACCCCCAATCCGTAGTTCAATATGCTACCAACAAATCCTAATTGAATTGAATATTGAAAAATTAAAAATGTTTTACCTGTATTTATTACTGTACTGTACAAAATAACTTCTAGACTGTGTAAATTGAACTGCTTGTATATTAAAACATGTTACATTAAAACTGGAGTGTAATCATGAAATAATGAAGAGGCAATTTAATTTTAACCAAAAATATTTTTTCAGAGCTGCAACAACTCAATTGGTTAGAGGGTTAAAAATTAGTGCAGTTTTCTCCACTAAAATTAGTTTTGGAATATCAGAATTTAATTGTGTTATTCGTTTAAGCTGCGCTGCTGCAGAATATTACCTAAGTAGTATTTTATACGGGTTCGGATATACATGTCTTTTGCCCAGAAGTAAAATCTTCTTTGTTCCAATACACACAGAATGAGCCAAACAAATTGTTATTACAGAGGGGTGTCTTTATTTTTCTCACAATGGACTATTGAATTTTGTCTGTCATATAACAATATATTTTTGTCTACTTCTGCAATTGTTGGCCCCTCTCAAAGAGTTGTCCCTGGTCCAAGATTTGTTCGGATGCCAAAATCCCACCATGTGGTCACCACATGTATTCTTATATTCTGAGCTTATATTACATTGTTGGTACTAACCTAGAGCACTGTAATTTAAGTAGGCTAATCTCTTTAAAATCATACTTTTTTCTTGAATATGAATTGTAAAAGGTAGGTAGTGTTTTATTAAAAATTAAAAAAAAAACAGGGTTTCCTTTATCCCAGATAGTTATATTGTCAAAAAGTTTCATAACACCTTGTTTTTGATTATGTGTTGATAAACTAAAAAA